TTGTTACCCAACAAATTATTTATTACTGAATAAACAAATAATATATTACACTATCACAGTTAGTCGACCCGGTGCTTATGCACAGAATATTTTCAGTTATTCCCAAACCAACTTGTTGAGATTTTATAAAGTGATGAGAATGACGGTGTGCTCTTCACGCTTCCCAAAGGTTGGCTTAGTGTTTCTTTCTTTCTTACAGCGATAACTGAGGGCGGTCCATCCAGCTTCTGCAATATTTACTATTAAAACATCTAAAATTGTAAAAAAAAAAGCCAAAATTTCGTAGAAGAATCGGGTAACACGATTTTGCTTTCACGAAGTGAGAGTTTTCCACTCCGTTCATTCAGAGGGCAGCGTTTACCTCCCAAAGTTGGTTCATAATTATATATACACAAATTTTCATACTGCCTCTGGGTCTTCGAATTTCTGCTGGCCATCTCAACTGTGTGTATCAATCCAGTGCAATTTTGGAGCAGATGAAAGGTCACAAAACTAGAGTTTTCACAATTACAAGAAAAAAAAAATTACCGTATTTCTGGACAAACGTGGAATAAGTGTGAGGCGTGGTGCATCGTTCACTCGTGGTACAATATCAACAACTGCAGAGAATGAGGCACTCAACGACGATTCTTTACTAATAATAACGTCGGAGAGCAAATTTGCGAAAATAGTCTGAAAAATGAATAAAAATAGCTTCATATTGGGCTGCTACATCGGCGCAAGAAATTTCCATGAAAGAAGAAAATCCTGTTCCCTTTACGAAGGTATTTTCTAAGATTTCAGGTGAAATCAAATCCCATGGCACAGGGTTTTTTTCCAGCTACTCAATGAAGTCTCATAACGTAGTTTTTCAAAAGCAATTCCTAGTCCAAAAAAGACGATAAACAGGTAAACTTTTGGCAAAATAATTGGAAATCTTGTGAAGAAATAAAGATACCGAATGACGCTGAGCGGCAATTCGAGCATTTTTCATCAGAGGCGCAGAGAGAAGACTCAAATCGAATGGGTCTAATTTCTGCTCAAAAAGTGGGATAAGCGGACGCATCGCACCATTTGGCAGAATGATATTCAAGAAACGGGCGTCAAACAGATACTGCAAGGCAATGCGACTTGACCATTCCATATCCGAATGAGCGACTGCCGAATAAACAGAGGCGAGCAATTCGCTAAGTTGCTGCGATATATGTGATTGAATATTTCGAGTACATAAGTGACCAACTGAGTTGTCTGAGATCTACAATCCAATGCAATTATTAAAAAAAACAACGCGCAGTTACTCATAAAATCGCATTTTTCTATCCCATCTTCCTCCAGTGAATTTTTGAGAAAATTAAACTGCTCCAAAAATGAGGAATTTTGAATGGGTAGCACAGAAACTAAAAAAAATAGTGTCTAAAGACGATTGCTAGATAAAGTTGTAAGTTAAAAAGGTAAGTGCAAGGGCCGAGAAATCTCTGGAAAAAATCCAAGACAGGTCACAAGAATATTTACAGTTATCGTCCAAATGTCTGCTGTTCCACAACACAAGATTTTTGTTGCGCATAATTAAAGCTCTCAATGAAAGTGATTCCGGAAGAAATACTTTTTTTGCAGTATGAAAGATGACTGAAGCGGAACTGCAAAAGTCAGGAAATTTGCGCAATGAGCAACACAAAGACATGGTGTCTTCTCAAAATGCTAATAAAAAAAGGCACAAAATGATATCTAATCACTGAAATAGATACTTCGCTTACCTTCTGGCATAAATCATAGAGGAAGCCGTACAAAATGCGGCTAATCTGTACAGGTACTTCCACCACTCCAACTTCTGACAATTCCAGCTTTTCAAATTCCTGGAAATATGGCAAAGTTCAGCCCAGCAGCAGATGGAGATGACAAAAGCAGATAACAGAAATTACAAATTCAGACAACTTGACGAAAAGCATTGATTCAACCGGAGTAACAGACAAACCTGTAAATATGTTATAAAGACAAATGGGTCACTATGAATTTCGGCGATTTTTCTGATCTGCTTTTCTTCAGCACATTCTCGAATAACCACATCCAAAAACTTGCTGCAAGAATTTTATTTTCAGTTCGAAATAACTAAAATCTTGCTAAGTGTTCCTAATGGAAGAAATGCTAAGTTGGTAATCCCTTCAACTGATGAAATGTTCGTCAGAATCATCAGCAGACTGGTCAACAGACAGTGCAGTATTTGTCACAGCAGCTTGTAGTCGGTAAAAAATTTGCCAGTTGCGTAAATGGAGATAAATATTATGAATTACAGCTTTCCAGATATTTTAAGTATAGTCCTTTATAATAATAATAACAATAACAATAATAATAACAGTGGTAATAATAATAATAATAATAATAATAATAATAAT